AGGATCGGGGCTGCAGTGTGTGGTTGCCACGGCCCTGATCCGCCGCTCCCGGGGGCAGCCCAGAGCCACCCTAAATGGGCCGTCTGCATCAGCCCTTAGTCTCAAGGATGCTACAAGATCCCTTGGCATACATAAATGTAGCTATAGATGACCAAAGGGCTCAACCCCTGGAACCCACCTTAAACTGTGGGTGGGAGGAGGTTGGCCCTATCATCTTGAACCATCTCAGTCAACCACGCTGCAGACTTCTGTCACCTGGAGCAAGTCCCTGAAGTTTAAGGTGGGTGTCAGGGAACATTTCTGATTGTGGCAAAAATACCACAATCATGGCTATGTAGCATATGGAGCAGTTAAGGAACGATTCCTGTAGGGTATGAATCCATAACTACTATGCAGGATGCCAGCCAAAATCCATAAAGTTAGCATATGCACATTTATCCCACATTGGCTTTCTCTTTTTGGGAGTGATGCATTCACTTCATCTTTGGGGATGATAGCTAAGTGTCACCTCGAATTCACCAGGCCTGTCTGATTGTCACCACTGTTGATGCACTTGCTGTCTTGCTCTGGGCAAGAGCTGAGGGGGGGAAAAAAAACCCCTGCCAGCATGGCCAGTGGAGCCAATCCACACAGAGCTTGGGAAAGCTATTTTCTTTGCTACAGCTCCCAGAATTCCTCAGCTAGCAGTCAATCCAATCTGCTCCAGAATCTGGAAAGTTATGTTTTAACCCCAAACCCCAACTAGCATTGTTAAGAATCTCTACAACTTCACAGGTGCTCTTTTTGTTCTTTGGATCCTGAAATGGTGAGCCTGATTGATTCTATATCAATGCAGCCCTGTGATTGAAAGGTCTCTCCAGTAACAGAAAAATGGAAGCAGATAGCATCTCACTGACAAATGCTGTTGCCCTCTGGAGTGCATATTTAGTAGATTGCCACATGCAGGCTATTGAAATAACCAGCCAAGAATGCAAAGCTGTAGCTAATTCATTACCCACGGTTCTCTTGCTGAAGTACTAATTTAAAGTCATATGTGTTGTACTAATTGTAATTTGGTTTTAAAGTGACAAGCTAAATATCTCCAGGTACACAATAAATAATGGACAGGGGTCAGAACCAATGAATGTCTGAAATACATTAATACTAACTGCATGCAATATGCTACAGTTATACATTCAAAAAGGATGAATTACATTTGCAAATTGGCACACTGCTCTTTTTATATCTCACACTTAGTAAACAATAGCAAATAGTCATCTGAATTGTTTACCTCAGTTTTTTCCCCCCTTCAAAAAGAGACACTTGGAAGCATATCACATTCTTAAATAATATGGCTTACCTGATTTGGTTTAAAATGTAAAACAGGCAGCATCCTCATATTATCACAAGGATTTAGCCACCAAATTTGCCACCTGGGTCCTTCCCGGGACCATTCCTGCTCCCAGGGGCACTCCAGCAGCTATTTCCTTAAGCTGGAAAACTCCTGGCTTTGAAAAGAGGTGCTCTGAGTGCCCCTGGGAGCAGAGATGGACCCGGGATGGACCTGGGTGGTGATTTCGGCAGCTAAATCCTTCTGATAATATCAGGATGCCTCCTGCTTTAAATTTTAAACCAAATCAAGTAAGCTGTATTATTTAAGAATGCAATAAGCTTCTTGGATTTAAAACTGCTGTGAATGAAAGAAATATTTCTGGAAGTCAACATCATTACCATCATCATATGGAGGAGGAGGAGGAGGAGGAGGAGGGCATCCTCTTCTTATGATATTGTAAGCCAGAGTTACAATATTGTAAACATTGCAATTCACATAGTATCATATATTACAATCACATATATGATCTTTCATGATTGCAACAACTGCAAGTGTCCCCTCACAACCCACCAAAGCTAAGCAGCTGCAGTAACCATGGCATTCGGAGGTGTATTGGCAAGTGGGGCACTGAATAAAGATACATTCAGCCCCCTCCCTCCAGCAAGGCCCAGTGCAAAAAGCAGTTGCTTTCTACAATATAAAATGTTATATATTTCATTTCATTATAATATAACGAAATGCAATAATATTATAAGGATTATTATTATTATTATTATTATTATTATTATTATGGTTCTTTGTTGTTGTTATCTGTCATGACATTCGACGTTGGCTATTTAGTTGCATATGTGCAACTAAGGTTTAATGTGTACTGCAGAAATAATGTAGTCTGACGCCGCTTTAACTGCTATGGCTCCATGGGATTTGTAGTTTTGTGAGATATTTAGTCTTCTCTGTCAGAGAGCTCTAGTGCCACAACAAACTATAAATCCCAGGATCCCATAGTATTGAGCTATGGCAGTTAAACTAATGTTAAACTGCATTATTTCTGCAATGCAGATTAGACCTATGTGTGCCTAGTCTTGGCCTGCCCCCCTCAGTGCACTCAGATGTAGGATTGTTTTAGTGCTAATACAAGTCTACTCAAATATGTTCAGTAGACCAGGACTCTTAGAGATGGATGGTCCTGGGAAGGACCAGGTCCACCTACTCAGAGAAGTCAAGGAGACCAGATGGGCCACTGTTATCATGGCACAGCAAACTCCCCATTGAGCTTAACTGCAATCCTTACAGTAGGGTTTAGGGAGCATGTATTGTTGTGAGCTATCTGTGTTGTAATGCAGAGTATTTGGTGTGGCTTAGTCCTGAATGATGTCAGTACCCCTTTAGATGCCACTAAGGTGGCACCCCAGTGCAGTAACTAATGCTGTCAAACCCAGGCTTGAGGCCACCAGGCCAGAAATAGATTGGGCCACTTAGAAACAGAAATGTTCCAGCCTACTTGCTGCCAGTAGCTGGTGGTTCAGGGCACACAAGGGAACTGTCCATGTCCCAGGATGTTGTGGTATATCTGCCTTGTTTGCAAGTCCTAAAGAGGAATCTCAATGAAATTCATGGGGTTGCCATAAGTCAATAGGCAACTTGAAGGCATGTGAGTGTGTGCACACAAATGTAGCTTAAATCAGTTTGAAAGTCCTGGTGGCTTGAAAACAGAGCAGTGTGCTGAGCTATTGTTTTCCTTTGAACAGTGGCACCATTAAAAAAGAGAGAGGAAGAGAAGAGCATAATGGTTTGACCAGTACCGCTCATGTCAGCAGATTATCCCCACTACTACCTAATGTGAAGAAAGTTTTCCCACCAAGCCTGTGACAATCTTTGTGTGTGGTGTGTGTTCATGTGTGAATTTGCAATCACACTAATTGGGGTGAATTAGAATTGTAACGGAGGGAGTAGGGAAAACTGGAAAAATGTGAGAAACTGGTGACAGGGCTCTATGCTTATTAAACATGATGCCAGGCCCACATTGAAATCTCCCTCTCCTCCAGCCTTAGTAAAGAAGCCGCCACTTTCTCCAAGCTGAAGTTCAGTGTCGTATGGTGTCAAATGTTTGAACCTCAAATTGCTGATTTTATATTGCTACTAGAAATCTCTGTTGCAGCAGGAATGGCTGGTGTGGGCATTACTTTCCACAGTTAATAATGCAATGTGATACAGAACAGATGAAATGAAATGTTTCTTTTAATGTAGGATTTGAAATGGTTTTGATTCTGTTTTTGTCTGATATTGCTTTAATCATAATTTTGTTTGTTTTTAACTATATGTGTTCTTTTTGTAATTTTTCTGCCTTTTTGTAAGCTGCCCTAAGTCCCAATCTGGGAGAAAGCAGGATATAAATAAAAGGATGGAGGTGCTCCAAATAATGAGCATGCTCCATCCCTTGCAGGCTGTTATGCAGTAGAGGCGTAATAGTTGATTGAAGCAAAGCACCATCAGAGACACTGAAAATCACCCCCCAGTACTCTCTGCACCCCATTGAGCTTAACTGCAATCCTTACAGTAGGGTTTAGGGAGCATGTATTGTTGTGAGCTATCTGTGTTGTAATGCAAAGTATTTGGTGTGGCTTAGTCCTGAATGTACAATCAAGACATTAGATTTACAAAAGACCTCTTCCAGGTGCACATGAAACGAGCTAAAACTGGTTAATTTCAACATCCCTGGTTACATAGGGTTTTTTTTGTGGGTTTTTCGGGCTGTGTGGCCATGTTCTAGAAGAGTTTCTTTCTGACGTTTCACCAGCATCTGTGGCTGGCATCTTCAGAGAATACTGGAATGGAAGAGAGTGGGTCTATATATACTGTGAGACCCTGGGTAGGGAGGGGTGATTCCTATGTAAACTGTGTATTGTTTGAAGATGTGTATTGAACTGTGTATTGAAGATGCCAGCCACAGATGCTGGTGAAACATCAGAAAGAAACTCTTCTAGAACATGGCCACACAGCCTGAAAAACCCACAAAAACTATGGATGCCGGCCATGAAAGCCTATGACTTCACATTCCTGGTTACATTTTTTAGTCTTTTGCAGGCTGTTGTTAAGATGACAGTTGTGCTGAGGTTCTCACCTTCAAAACATACCATTTCACCATTAATCATTGTATAGAGCTGCCAAGACTGTGCTGCATATAGCACAATTTGCAATGTTAGAAGGAATACAAGTAGCAGTTATCTTCCAAGAACAATCTTGGGATACTGGAGGAATTTGATCTCTATACATAATGAATAAGTCCTTGTGCAAAAACTCCAAACAAGATAATCCCAAGTACATATGTGCATATAACTCCAACACCATGTCCAGCCAAAGAAGTGAATCTGTATGGAACTGATATTGTCCAGAAATAGACTGATCACTGTTTTGAAGAACATAGGAGAATTGTAGTCCAATATAATAAAATTTCCCAAGCTGTAGTTTGAACAGAGAAAACAACATTTTCCCAGTTCTGTTTTGAACACCTCTGTAAGCACTGTTTTTAGCAAAGCATGAGAGTTTTTGTTGCTGTGTGCCTTCAAGTTGTTTCCAACTTATGACAACCGTATTACGGGATTTTCTTGGCAAGATTTGTCCAGAGGGGTTTGCCTTTGCCTTCCTCTGAGAGTATGTAACTTACTCAAGATCACCCACTAGGTTTCTATGGCTGAACAGGGATTTGAACCCTGATCTCCATAATTCCAGTCCAAAGCTCAGCACTACGCCATGCTGGCTCTCCAAGAGCTATAGTCTCAACCAAGTACAATTTTCTGAGCTTTGTTTTTGAACAGAAGAGAAGACCATTATTTAATATTTTATCCAATCACTTTTAAAAAACAATGTGTGAGAGTTGTAGTTCAAACCAATCAGTGGAAGCTCAGCTGCCCAGTGTTAGGCAAATAGACAAAGGTCTATTGACCCAAAGGCATCACTCTGTACAGCCTGTTCTTTATCGCTTTCTCACATAGAAGGGAGTAGCAGCTCACCACTGCTGCATAAACTATGGATGAAGTACTGGGGAATGCTGGTCCAAGTTGGGGAAAGGGATCTGTAAACTTATGCTTCATTTCTGAGATCAGTGAGTAAGATCAGTGAGTGATATATGGAGCAAGCAGCCACAGCTGGGGAAAATGTTTTGGTTTCCAAACCTTTTAGGGAAAAGAACTCAGCAATGGAATTTTGTATTTGTTTGGGACACAACTGTGAATCTCGCTCCCAGCTTTAAAATTCCATAGATCTTCTTTCTCCTGCATTACTTGGTACTGTCTCGAAAGATGTCATGCAGATGCTGATTGATTATAATGACTGATTTATCATGGCCCAGCTTCGTTTGAGCAGCTCTGTGTGGATGTTAAGATGTGCCAAAATAAGTCTTATTGTATGCGTGGGGCTTCTTTGCAAGTAAATGTACTTGAATGGCATCCTAAAAGACTGATATTCTTGAAAGGGGAGGTTGTTTTACATCTTCATGCCATGCTAATTTTATCTTTTCATCTTCATAATAATCTCATTATATCTGATCAGCTATTCTTGCCATCCACCATATCATCCTATCAATAAATGTTCATGGTACAATTCAACCAAGTTAATGCATTTAAAGCTAGTCTCTTGATTTAAGTAGGAGATTTAAGATGGAAGCTTGTACATGACTGATTAAAAATAAGTTTTGCTGAGTTTAGTGGGGCTTACTCATAAGTAAGTAGGTGTATGATTGCAGCCCAAAAGATCTACTTAGGGCCTTTGCAGACTGCCAGAAATAGTGCACATTAAATTGAGGCACTGCCCTGGCTCAGTGCTAGGGAATCATGGGAACTGTAATTTATTGTGGCACCAGAGCTCTCTGACAGAGAAGGCTCAATGCCCCAGAAAAAAATACAATTCCCATGACTCCCTAGCACTGAGCCAGGGCAGTGCCTCAATTTAATGTGCACTATTTCTGGCAGTCTGCAAAGGCCTTTACTGTGGAAGTCTATGCTTGCCTATATAAACGTATGTTTCAGTATATTCTGTGAAGCTTGCTCTCTATTAAGTGTGCCTAGGACTGACAGCCCATTCAGTATTAAGTTCCATTCAGTTCAAGGGGACTTACTTCCAGATATTAGCATCACTGGGGGTTCAGACCGCACCTGGTGACACCCATTTGGGTTCTCCTCCCCCTTCAGCACAGGAGGGGCACATGTGTGCCCTTCCAGGTGGCTCTGTCCAGGGCCCATTCTCCAGGGAGAAAGGACGGAGGAGGAGGGCCAGCATGCTGCTACCGCCACCCCTCCAGTGTGGACTCAGAAGGCATGGCGGGAGGGAGAAAAAGCCCACCCTTTGAGTCCTCAGATGATTCAGGGCATGGGGGAAGGGAGGCTGCCCTCTGAGTCCTTGGAGGACTTGGAGGGCATGGGGGAAGGGAGGCTGCAGCTATAGAGAGCGCTAGTGGCTGCTATCTTCTCCTCATCGAATGCAGTATGAATGAGAGCCTTTGTTCCACAACACTACTTAATTGACTGATATTCTTGAACTTGTACAAGGGGATTTTGTAAGGTTTAGTCCAAAAAATAACTTTTCCATGCTAAGGCTGCAGGGCTAAACACAGTTATCAGGGTAAGTGGTAAGTTTTATTAAAATGGTAGGGGGTTGCAGACTGCCAGAAATAGTGCAAATTGAGTCCACTTTTAGGGTTAGGATTAGTGCTAGGGAATCATGGGAATTGTTTTTTTTTTTCTGAGACATTAAGCCTTCTCTGTCAGAGAGCTCTGGTGCCACAATAAAATACAGTTCCCATGATTCCTTAGCCCTAACCCTAAAAGTGGACTGAATTTGCACTATTTCTGGCAGTCTGCAACCCCCCTTACTTCTGAAGAAACATACAGAGGATTGTGTTTTGAACCAGCCCTTATTTTCCACAAGAATCTTTAGTCTTGTATCCAAAAATGTAATTCCCTTTTAACTCCTTGAAACAAGGTTAGAAAAACAAGAAAATCAGCAAAACTGAAACTGACAGACTAATCAATCCCTAACAAGTAATTACTTCTACAGACATTACAAGAAGCAAAAGGTTTCACAACAAAACAAGTATGTGTGTATATGGTAGGGATGCCATATGCATGCCACTTAAGTTGTAAATTTCTGAAGCAATAGGAGGCTGGGGAATTTGTAAACATTATAAGAAATAATAGAGACAGAAAATCATATGGAAGGCAACAAGCTTTCAAATTAACTGCCTTTTCATCAAGCCTCGGTGACTCTGGAACAAAGTGAAACAGGTTTTATTCCTTGCTCATAATAGTCTATAAGCTAAGGAAGTATAAATAGTTAAAAGGCAGAGTTATACAATTCCCGGAGCATAAACAAGTCTTTGTTTTCAGACGGATTCCCATTGTAACAGTATAAGCTCACCTCAACTTGTAGAATAATTGGGCATAGAAAGGTGGCCACAGCATGTTCAAAAGCTACCAGGCATTCAGAGACTAGGGCTGCATCTACACTGCAGAATTAATACAGTTTGACACCACTTTAACTGTCTTGGCTCAATGCTGTGGAATTCTGGTGTTTGAATTTTTTTGACATATTTAACCTTCTCTGTCAGAGAGCTTTGGCACCACAACAAGCTCCAGTTTCCAGGATTTCATAGAACAGAGACATGGCTGTTAAAGTGGTGTCAAACTACATTAATATGGCAGTGTGGTAGCAGCCTAGGGGACTGATTAGTCTTGCACTAATTGAAATAAGACCATTCTCTGAACAACCTGTTGCAAACTGGGATGGTATAGTATGCTGGATTGGTGATTTTTTTAAAAAAAAAAAAACATAAGATGGAAACAGATTTTTTTTAAAAAGTGCTATAATGACATGGCCATTATTGCTCTATCGATCTGTCTGTCTATCTATCCTACTATCTATCTTATTATCCATCCATCTATGAGTATTTGTAAGCCATGTATCTCTAAGGACGTTATCACACGGGGCTCGATCCAAACAGAATCCAAATGAAATGCCGACCGAATCCGGATTATTCTGTGTCCCATGTTTCCACACAACATCGCACAGAACCCCAACAGAAAGTGGACAGAAAGTGGAA